CTAGGGCAGAGGCGAGTCCACATTTGCCAGCCCTGAGCTATTACTGTGACTGAGATTCTCCCTCCCCGCCCCATTAATTCCCCTCCCCGAGGCAACAGAATTGTCCAACACCTTCCACCAACACGTCTGGGAGGTAAATGCTGATTCTCGGAGCGCTGGAAGAAAGCACTTCACGCTGCCTAATTGCCTTTCCCCGGCACTGGGAGAGCAGCTGTGCGGCTCTGCCGGCGCTGCCCCGGCGGCACCGGCCCGGGCCGAGCCCGCGGGCACTCCCGGCTCTCGCCGTCGGGCAGCGAATTCCCCGCTGCTCCCTGGCTCCCTCCGGCCCCGCCGCGGTCTCTGTCCCTCTCTAGTGGCGGTGCCGCAGCAGCTGCCGCGAGGATTGAACGGGCCGGCTTTCAGAAATGCCAAAAAAATCACATCAGCAAATTCCAGGACAATGGAATTTGTCAAACAGTTGTGGTAAATCATTTCAACGCCGCTTTAAATTCTGATAAAGTCAGTTCATCTCCGCTGACGTGTCTTGGGTTATTTTATGAGTGAACTCACGAGACAGCTCACCAGTTCACAATGAATGAGTTCAGCTTTGTCCCAGCGGGAGGTTTTGACCCATCTGGAACGATTTTGTTTGGAGTTTCCATTTCCAAACGATTTTTGAACCAGCAGTGTAGTTCACTGGTACTAAAAGGGCATTTTAGAGTGTCAGTAAGGAAACGGAATTTTCCAGTGCTCTGTTTCCAGCAGAGCTTTTATCATCAGGTTGGTTTCCTTGCTTTGGTTGGGAGGGCTGGAGCAGAGACCCCCGAGGTCCCTCCCAGCCTGGGTTACTCTGATTCCGTGTCTCTGGCTAGAGGACATTTCCCTGTATATGAGGTGGCTGTATCCCCATTCTCACCCTTGCACACAGCAGAGAATTATCACTGTGCTTGCAGAGCTGTGTGGTAAAGTCCCAGCAACAGGAAACTCAACCCTAAAACACAATCCAAATAGTCCCAAAGGCAGAGGCTCTGCTCAGCAGACTGGGTGCCCTGAGCTTGGACACAACAGGGCTTGTTCCCATATTCCCAGAGGGAGGGAGGGAGGGAGGAAGAGGAGCTCTCCCTGCACCCTAGGTTGGGTCAGAGCATTTCCCCACGTTGATTGTGACCTCCCAGGGAGAGCCTGGAGAGTCTTTTATGACAAGTTGACCCATCTGGTTGACCCAGGAAAGCCAGTGGATGTAATCTTTTTGAATTTCAGTGAAGTTTTTGATACTGTCTCTCCCAGGATCCTTCTGGACAAATGGTCCATCCCAGAGCTGGATTAAAAACATCATGAGGTGGGTGAGCAACTGGCTCACGGGTCCGGCATGAAGGGTGACAGTGACTGGGGTGACATCAGGCTGGCACTAGTCACCAGTGCCGTTCTGCAGGGCTCCAGCCTCGGCCCTGTGCTCTTCAACAGCTTCATAAATGTCTTGGATGCTGGACTGGAAGGGACACTGAGCATGTTCAGACAATAAAAAACTGGGAGGAGCTGCTGACTCCCTCAAAGGCAGGGAGACACCGCAGAGAGACCTCAGGAAATCAGAGGGCATCACCAGCCATATGAAGTTCAACAAGGGAAAATGCTGAACCCTGCCCAGGGATGGGGCAGCCCTGGATGCAGGGACAGACTGGGAGTGAGAGGCTGGAGAGCAGCGCCCTGGGAAGGGCCCTGGGGGTCCTGGTCAGGGGCAAGTTGGATCTGAGTCACCGCTGGGTCCTGGCAGCCCAAAGGGCCACCCTGTCCTGGGGACACCAGGCCCAGGGAGGGACTGTCCCACTCTGCTCTGCACTGGGGCAGCCTCACCTCCAGGGCTGGGGCACTTGGGGCACCACGAGATCAGAAGGATCCAAAGCTGTTGGAGAGTGCCCAAAGGAGACCAGCAAAGATGGAGAAGGGCTTGAGGGGAAGCTTTTTGAGGAGCAGCTGAGGACACTTGGTCTGTTTAGCCTGCAGGAGACTGAAGAGAGACCTCACTGCAGTTACTCCTTCCATGTGAGGGGAAGAGGAGGGACAGACACTGATCTCTCCTCTGTGGTGACAGTGACAGGACCCGAGGGAATGGGCTGAAGTCATGTCGGGGAGGTTGAGGCTGGGTATAGAAAAAGGTTCTTACCCCAGTGTTCAGGCACTGCAACAGGGAATGGCCACAGCACCAAACCTGACAGAGCTCCAGGAGCACTTGGACAATGCCCTGGGACACATGATGTGACTCTTGGGGAGGGCTCTGTGCAGGGCAGAGAGTTGGACTTGATGATCTTTGCAGGTCCCTTCCAACTCAGCATATTCTGTGATTCTGTGACTATATTTTCATCATTATTTAGTCTTCTAAAGTTGGTGTCTCTGGAGCTGACAAGCTGTCACTGCTTGTAACAGCTCTTAATTTGGATATGATAATTTTATCATTCCTACTGTATACAAGAAGCTGGTATTTGGCAAACATTACAGGTTAAATTTGTACAAGTGCTGCTCTCGTGCACTGAAAAATCGTAAGAAACCTCAGAGTGTGAAGCTGTTGTGTCCTTACAGCCACTGCAAAGGGGAACAGGGCCCACAGGCTGCTCCTGAAGGCCACAGACTTTTTTCTGATGAACAAATGGAGCTACTTTCTACTTCACCTGCTTTCTCTACTTTTACAGGGCAGCTTGTTGTCCTACTGATAGCACTTACAACATCAATCCTGTCTGCAGGAAGCAAAAATCTGCAGTTGCCCTGAACTTATGCAGCAATAAACAGGAAATTCAAACACAGTATCAACCATGGTGCGGCTCAGGTCCAGGGAACTGAGCTCCTTTGTGCAAAGGAACAGACCCAGGGGTCAAGCTATTCATCAATTCCTGTGCTAAAAAAGATATTTAAGTGTTGGATTATCTGGGCAACAGGTTCCCAGCACACTTCTGTCCTTAATCCCCCAAGGGAAAAGTCACTTGGAAAACTTCACCATAAAAGAAAGAGCCAAGGGATGGGCAGGATGTGAGTGTGGAAGCATCAAGAATCTTGGTTTCTGGAGGGTGAAGGGGAACTCAGAGGAGCTGTGGCTGTCCCATCCCTGGCAGTGTTCAAGGCCAGGTTGGACAGGACTTGGAGCAACCTGGGATAATGGAAGGTATCCCTGCCTGTGACAGGGCTGGAAGAAGATGAGCTTTAAGGTCCCTTCCAATCCAAACAACTCCATGATTCTGTGAACTCACTGTGCCCAACATGGAGGAAATGGCTCTGCCTCCTGCAGCAGCCCCTCTCTGCAAACAGACTTCCATGCTCCTCCACTCTGCTGACAGCCCCTGCAGTCACAAACCACCGGGCCCAGCATTACCCCAGTTATAATTCCCCACCTTTTCTGCCTGAGCTGGGATGAGGCCCTGAGTGCCCAGCACAGCTCCAGCTTCCTATCCTGAACTAAACGGCTGCAGCACAAAGAAGAGATTTTGTTAGAGATGGACATGACACATCTGACCCTGGCCAGGTGGGCTGAACACCCTGTTTAGTTACTCCAGGAAAACACTCTGGCACAGTTTCTCTCACTGTTTATCTGCTCTCTTCTATTTCTAGCTTTCTGCAGACCTGGGTGAAAGGCGTCCCCTCCCTCAGCACAAAGGAGCTCATGGGCACTAAACCCCCAGATTCCTGCACAGCAGCTTCTGGCACAAGCCCCACGCTGCCTGCCAAGTGCAGACACCCCTCTGTGCTGTTCATTGTGGAAAGCACACAGCAACCACAGCAGCATCATCTGTGAGCAGAGCCACCCAGCCCCACACCACAGCCCCTGCTCTCCCAGCCAGAGGCCAAAGCAGTGCCAGGACCAAGAAGGGAAAAGGAACTTACTGGCAAAGATGGGAGCCTGCAAGAGCCCTGTGAGGAAAACCACAGCTCATGGCTCCTGCAATGCTGCACCCTGGGAGGCACAGGAAAGCCTCCAGTACCTCTGACACTCATACCTGCCCTCCCTGGCAGGTGACAAGGTGAACAGCTTTGAGCCAAACAGGCTCACATATCCTGGCAAATGTCCCCTGACTGTGATCTCAACAAACACCTCGGCCCTGGGAAATGAGCATTTCTCCCACATGATCAGGATTGTGCTCCCAGCATGATCAGGCTCTTAGAAAACTTCAAAGTGTTTCTTGAGAGCCACTGGATTTGCCGACAGCCTGGGGAAGCTCCTTTGGGGAGTCCTTGTTCTTACCACCACTTCCAAACTAATTTAAGTTTGTGGTGACTGGGAACCACTCTCAAATACCTTAATTTGAAAGAACATGCATCCTTCATCCTCCTTCATCCCATTCAATGGGGACAATCCAGACCAAGTGGAGTCAGAGCTGGCACTTGGACAACATTGGGAACACAGAAGGACATGTCACAGCAGTGATGGCAGCACGTCCCCCACAGTTAACAGCCACACAGTTCTGCTGTTAACTCCAGGTAGGAAAGCTCTAAAGTGGAAAAGCTCCAGTCACCAGAGCCCTGGCAGCAGCAGAGGCAGTGCTGGTGCCCGTGTGCTGCCAGGGGCTCTCAGCCATGGCTGGTGGCAGTTCCTGAGCACAGGATGGACTCAGCTCCTCACCAAGAACTCAGGGTCTCTGCACCAGCTCCTCCAGGGCACAGGGCAGGGAACAGATCCAGGTCCCAGGGAAAATGTTTTGCCAGACTCAGGAGTGAGAGCACACAAGAGAACAGTGACAGCAGCATGGACACTCCCCTGGCATTCCAATGAGTTCAGGGGGTTGGGCTGGAGGTTTTTCCCTACAATTAGAACTGCAACAGTCACAGACACTCAGAGAAGCTGCACAGCCCTTGGGCCAAGCTGAGCTCCCCTGGAGCTCGTCCCCCGCTCCTGGAGGACAGCTGGGTTTCTCTGGAATGGATGCCTTGAGGAAACAATTAGCAAAACCAAAATGCTAGAGAAGGCATCCTATCAAAACCACACCATTTCCCACCAGGCTACAGGAACCCCAGCCCAGAACAGGAATCAGCACAGCTGCTCAACAACAACAACAACAATTTAATTGTGTTAAGAGACAAACATATTAACAAAATCCACATTTCCATTAAAAAAATTCCTTGTGCCTGGGCACCTGAGCCAAGCCACTGTCTGTTCACAGCTCCGTGGTGCTGCAGAGAGAGGCTGGGACTGCAGCTGGGAGTAACTGCTGTGTAACCTGGCCAGAGCAGAGAGCTGCACTGCAGCCACATGGGAAGGGACATACAAAATAGTTATGAAAAAATATGCATTTTAAATAAAGAACTTACAACAACTTCAACTTTATACAAAATATCATGGCTGACGTCTCAATTTCAGTGTCTCAATTCTAGGAATTCTTTTTGAACTCTCAGCATCCTGTTTTCCGTCTCACACCAACCCTGCAGTCTCCCCAGAGAGCTCTGTCTCTGTCCAGCTCAGTCCAAAGTACCTGAAAATGAAAAATCACATTATAGTCTCAAGAATCAGAAGTGCAGTTCTGTGAACAAACAAATCTTGTTTACAAACTGGCAAAAGAAAATGCAGTAACTTTAAAGCTTAAGTGAATCACACACAAGTAAAACCAAATCTAGCAAAAAAACCAAGCTACTGCACGTGCCTCAGGGTCCAGCTGAGCCATTCCAGAGCTCACAGGGGCACTGCAAGCCACACTAGGAATTACTGAGGATGTGGAAACAGAGAGCTTTGCAAATGATTCAGTTCTTTCTCTCCTAGGTAGGTTATTACACACAACACTGAAATCAAGTAGAAACTCACCTTCCAAAAAAGCAAATTCATCAATAGCTTCAATGGCATTATCTGAAAAGCAAATTGTGAACAATTAAAATAGATAAACCATATTTGCATCTGTTTCAAACTGCAGCATTTGAAATTACATAGAGCACAGTGACCAATTTCAAAGACATCTATTTGTTTTGGAGATAGTGTGTGAAATTATTAGTAGAAATTAGTAGAAACTTCAGTAGAAGTTTTTCTCTCCCATCTTCAGGGAAATAATAAATCCATAATTACTCCAGTACCTCCTGACAGGTGAAAAAATCCCCCATTGGAGCAACCCTTTGCTAAGAACACGCTCCCATACCCAGGTCTTTTCTTTGCAGGGTTTTCCTTTTTCCTTGCTGGGCATACACATAAGCATCTTTGGCTATGGTTTCAACAAACAGCTCCTGCAAGGCAAAACAGGACAGGTTCACATAGGAGATGAGAGAGAGAATGCCCTGACGAAAAGAAAGGTCCTACAAGACTTCAGGATTAGATCAGAATCTTCATTCTAACATTACCCCTTCCTAGTAAACAGGTCTGAAAGTACCAAAGGAAATGGCTGGACAGTGCTGCACAGGACAAGCAGTGAGGGAGAAAGCTGGGAATGTGGGTTCCTCGAAACCCACATTCTCTGGGAGACCCACTCCACACCAGGGGCTCCCAGGGCACCTTCTGAAGGGGGAAAGGTGTCCTGTGCTCAAGAGAAGAATCATGAAAACCTTCAGGTGGAGAAATACCTCTAAGATCATTGTGTCCAAGCATCAGCCCAGCACCAGCTCCACACTCATCTCCACCCCATGTCCCCAAGCACTACATTTTTTTGCACAGTTCAGGAGATGCTGACTGCCCAGGGGAGCCTGTGCCAGAGCCTGACAACTCTCTACATGAAGGAATTTTCCCAATATCCTAAACCTCCCCTGGTGCAGCCTGAGGCCACTTCTCGTCCTGTGCCTTCTTGCCTGGGGGAAGGGACCAATCCCCGCGGCTGTCCCCTCCTGGCAGGAGATTTGCAGAGCCACAAGAGCCCCCTGAGCCTCCTTTTCTCAGCCTGAGCCCCTTTCCAGCTCCCTCAGCCGCTCCTGGAGCTCCAGACCCTTCCCCAGCTCGGGCCGGCGGCAACCGCCCCGCGGGTCCGTGAGAGAAGGAAAAACCTCCTGGGCAAGACCGAGCAGCGTCCCCGCAGCGTTCCGGGCCCAGGGCCCGCGGGGCCGCCCCTCACCGTGGCCCGCGCCAGCACGAACACGGCCTCCTGGCTGGCCAGGGTGACGTCCGGGTCCGCCTTCACCAGCGCCTTCACCCGCGCCAGCGGCAGCCGCGCCAGGCGGGCCGCGCCCGGGCCCTGCGGCCCGGGCCGGGCGCGGCGGGGCCTCGCTGCATCCCGGCCGGGCTGACGGCCCCAGCCCGGCCCCTCCTCCCGCCTGCAGGCCTCAGCTTCCCCTTCGGCCCATCGCCGAACACGGCCCCTCATCCTCGCCTTCACCGCGTCCCCTAACACGGCCCCCTCAGCCCCGTCCCGCTGCTCCCCACAGATGCCCTCAGTGCCCCAGCGCGGCTCTCGGGCCGCCCTCTCCGCAGACAGGGACGTGGGGCTGGTGCGGGGTGGCCGTCCCTGCTGTCTGCCCGTGCTGTGCCCCAGAGTCCGCTGCCCGTGGGGCCTCCCCGCAGCCGCTCTGCAGCCCATCTCCAGCCGGTGAGGAGCCCTCCAATGCCCCCAGCGCACCCACCACCCTCCGCAGGACCCCCGGGACCACCTCCCTTGGCCGTCAGGTGCCTGCCCCAGCCTTGCCCATGTCCTCAAACCCTGTCTTACCCTTAAACCATCTGCAGGCAGGAGCCACCTCGGGCACTGCTGGTGGGACACTGTCCCAAAGGGCTGCAGGGACGCAGATCGTGGAGCAGGGACACCAGCACCAACCAGCTGGCCAGAGCACCCCTGCCAGGGCTTGGCTCGACTGCCAAACCATTCCTGCCTCAGAGGCAGTAAACAGTGACACAGGACAGTTAGACACTGATGGCCCAACACAACGCCCTGCCATGCACAGCTTCCCCTTGCTTCCCAGAGGAGTTAGGCTCTTCAGTGAAGCTCATGTCCCACATGAAGAGACTAATTCCAAGAAGCCACAGGGCCTCACCCAGCTTTTCTGTGCTCCCACAGAGCTCAGCTGTGCACCCTCTGCACCTCCCTGCCCTGCAAATCCTGGGCAGCTTTGAGACGTGACCTGCAGAGGAATCCTGAGCCACCACCGCACAAGGACATTGCCCACCCTCCTGCTCCTATGTCCTCACATCCTGCAGTCAGTTCCCAAACTGGGGCTCTCCTCTTAGGGCCAGCAGGGCTTAGTGGGCTGCAAGTGTCAAACAGCTGCCGAGCCAAACCAGCAGTGTACCAAGAGCTGCTCCTCCTCCTCTTTCTCCTCCTCCTTGTGTGGTCTCACCGGGTCTCATCAGGCAAAAGCAACTTCCTGGCACTGCACACAGCTCCTCGCCCGCTGTTAGGAAAGAGCTGCTGGTTTCAAGGGAGGACACCTCAGAGAGGCTTGTCCAGAATGCTTCGGGTGTCTTCAGCAAGGACGTGAGCACACAGGAAAGCATCCACTGATGGAAGATGGTGAGTAAGAACCAGACCTGGGCTATAGTGGACATGGGGATGGGACACTGCGAGCCATATGTCCTGGTTGGAAGGGTTTTGGGGATGTCCTTGTGAGGGGCTGCATGTGGCCAACACCCTCACTACTCCTGTAGTGAGTACTACTCCAAAGTCCTCCTGTACATCTGAGCTGGATGGAGCTTCAAAGACCTCTGACCAGTTTCTGGGCTCGGAGGAAGATTTTCTGAGTGAACTTGCGCTGAATACAAACGTCTGTGAAAGGAGGAGGCCACACTCCCACTGAGTCCAGGAGAGCCTCCACCCGCACAAAATGGATTGGAAAAGCTGGAACTGATCACAGTGATGGCAATGCTGTACATCCAAGGGCTCTGAGCAAGTCCCAGCTCATGGAACAGGCCCAAAACTGATCATTACAAACCACCAAATAATTCAGGTGTCAAAAATCCCAACGGCATGTTTGGGAATCTGGAAAACATTGCTTTTTTCACTAATCTGAGTGAAAGCCCCAGTGATGGTATACAGGAAATGGCACATTCATGCTGCTTCAGCACTGCTATACCAACTGCTGCATTTGGAGGTTTACCAGGAAAACTGGGGTGTTTGCCTGGGGAATTTGCACTTTTGTAAGTCTGTGTCTTTGATCAGTTGTGTCTAAAAATATTGCATCAGCTTCTCTCCATATCAGCCTTTCCCTTGTGAAAATAAAAATTATGCAATCAAAAACCCAAACTGAGATCCCTGAAGGATAAAAACTCCAAAATCAAGGCACACAGCTCCAGCGAAGCAGCCAGCTGTGGTGCAAAGGGAGACTGTGGTCTGGGGACAGGGGTGTAAGAGAAAGATGGGGAGGGTAAGGTGATCCCTCCCCTCTCACAAGGTCCATCTCAGAAGATTAGGAAAAATGTAGCCCCATCCCGTAGCTTTGTGCCATAGCTCCAACATGGCAGTCTTCTTCCAAGAGCCGTTCACAGCCTCCTCCAGGCAGCGTTTCTCTGGAGGCTCTAAAGAAGGGTCAATTTCGGTCACTAAGGAAGTTGAAGGCAGCTGTGTGCTGGAGCAGATGTGTCCTGCTTCGTGTGTGCACAGTGTGAACCACACAGGAAAGACACATGTCAGAAAAGTAGGGCAGTCTGCTGCCTCTTGGCCTTGTTTTTTCTGCACAGGGGCATTGGTGGAATGAGTCTCAGCAGTGCCATCCCCACTTCTCCTCCAGGGAGGGACCCAATGGCCCTGTGCAGTCTCCCCCACCAACTCATCATGGAAAACAGGACAAGGGCAAGGCAGGTTGCTCCCATCTGAGCTCTGGGAAATCTCTGGATCTCAGATTCTGCCTTCAGGAGCTTTGCTACTACCACCTAGTCCCTCTGATCTGATGGTCCTTGGTAGTGGACAGAGGGTGGATCAGACCAAAAGACTCCATGAAAGGTCTCCTGGATGCCCTCATGGTGGGGTAAGCTGGTCCCAGTTTGGTGCAGCCCCATGTTGTTTACTCAGATATATTCAGGACCTTTTTGAGCAAAATCCTAGTTTTGTGGAGAAGACTTAGTGTCAGACTATGTTGAAGGAATACCACATTCCCCAGGGTGAATTTTGACTCATTTTCCTCCATGGTGTTTTAACTGGAACTGTTTTTCTTAATGGTTGCAGATGCCTCTGGAGGGGAGAGACGCCGTGGTGAGGCACCTTCGGGCAAAGTTCCAACAGACCAGGAAAGAGCCTCCCAAAGTGGGTGGCTGGCCAGAGAGTCACCCTGCAGCCTCTCATGGACCAGAGCCAGGACAGACCTCTGCCACGGCCTCCAAGGGTGAGCCTCCTCAGGAGGGCCCCTGGAGCAGGAGGGACTGCAGCAGGGCCTCTCCACCTCACAGTACAGGCCAGAGTTTGGGACAGCACTCACCTCATTCCGCCTGCGAGACCCCGGCGCTGGTGGTGTGTCGGAAGAAGGGGACAGCTCCAGGTGCCAACTTCCACCCAGTGCGTGCAAAGCCAGCAGGAGATGTGTTGAACAAGAAGGTGGAAGCCAGCTCTGATCCTCCCCACAGGAAGCCAGCCCAGCAGACACGGCCAGCTGCCAAAGACAAGGGGGCTCCAGTGGTTCTTGCCAAAGGCGCAGCTGCCGCAGCGCCCCTGCTTGCTGTGGGAAGCCCCCAAAGGATGGAGCACCCAGCTCTGCCCCGGAGGAAGCCTTTGCCACATGTCAGGGCACTGGGAGTGAAGCCAGGCAAGCCCCGGCGCCCTCCTGATGTGGATTTGGCAAAGTTCAGAGCAGCTGCACATCCTGGGACATCCATCTCTCCTGCCACAGAACCACCAAGGAGTGCTCAGCTGGGTATGGCCAGGCACAGGAAAGTCCCTCAGGAAAGGCCTCTGCTCATTCAGGAAGGAAAATCTCCCCAGTTAGAGCCTGCAGCTCTTGGGAGATGGAAATACTGGGAAGGCTTATGGAGAGGTGGGGCTTGTATTACCAAAGGGGCTGTTATAGGCAACAGCATGAGGATGAGAATGAGAGAGAAGGAGGGCAGGTGATGAAACAAAGTGCCCTGTCCCTGGCTGGGCACAAGTTTCCATCTCTGGAGTGTTTGTAGGAAGTAAGGTTGGAGTAAGTAACATGAGAGATATTGCCAAATTGGAGTGAGCCCAAGATAGCCGGGGACTGGAGCACGTGGAGAAAGAAGGGCTGAGACCCAGGCTTGTTCAGCTGGGAGGAGAGGGAAGAGGGGGAGACTTTACTGCTCACAGCTACCTAATAGGGAGAAAATGGGGCCAGACTCTTCACAGAGGTGCCAGGGGCAGGCCTGGGGGCGATGGGCATGAGCAGTCAGGGAGGTGCCAGTCAGACACTGCCCCGCCACGCTCCACAGAGGCCTTCCAGAGCCACGCTGCTGTGGTGGTTTCCCACAGTTGCTGTTCTGCTAATCCACGCTACAGATGATGAAAGCTGTTTCAAATACCATTTCTTGCTCAGTTTCTCTAACCATGAGAGTAGACTTCCCTTCCTTTCCTTAAGAGAACTGAAAAATCAAACTGGTCTATGTTATAATTACGAGGTGTCATCAGGGCTGGCCACGCTATTGTGCTGGGAGATTCTCACATGACTGGCTACAAGTATTTCTTTGTCTCATGGGTCCTGAGGCAAGCTGCAACATCTAGAATCACACCTTGCCTTGATTTGATAATTTTTGTTAATTTTAAGGGCAATCTTATGACTTTTAGGGCCAAGTATCTGATTGTGTATTACTTGGTACCATAAACCAGCAGAGATTTGATGATGTACTGAGGGCTTTGTGCCCATTCTTGGTTGGTCTGCTTGACCAGGCTGGAGACAGGGCTTGTGATACAAATAAGGGCGTGTCAGCAGGGATGTGGTCATGCTGACAATCCTAAAAGGGGCAGCACTATGTTGTGACTGATGATGCTCCTGAGCACGTAGACATATCTAGGATTTGCCCTGATTCTGGTACATATCTGAAATTTAGGGGTTTTCCATATTCATGATACCTATTTTGGCCTCTTCCCCTGTCCTTCCATAATTTGTCCAGGAAGAAAGTAGCATAAGAAATATACAAATGGGAAAATACATATTCAGGGTCCTCAGTGAGGAATCTGATGAGCTGTGCACCAGTGTGCTGGAAGAAAATCCCTGGATGGGCTATGGAGTAAAAAACTTCTTGCTCTATCAAGATGTGTAGTCAGTTTTATCTCCCCACTTCCCCCTGCACTAAATCCAGCCCAGAGTGGCTCTGACCTCAGGGTGGCTGATAGTGCTGAGGAGAAAATATGAAATAATCCCTCCCTGCTCCCTCCTGTTCTGCTGTTTGTCACAGGTCACCTGCAACCAGGCTGTGCTGCATCAGTGCCTGCACGGTTCCCACTGCAGGATGCTCCAAGTGGCACGGGGTAAGGACTGAGGCAGCACTGCTATTCCAGGCTGTGCCAAGCCACTGGGAAGGGCACAAGATGTGACAGCAAGAGGATGTTTGGGTTTTCCCGCCTGCTGCTGGAGGCAGGGTGTGGAAGCAGCTCTCACAGTGTGAAGTGCAGCCATCCCTTGGGACTGTGTTACCTCACTGTGG